TTTATAATAAATCATAAAAATTATGGCATGCATAAGAAAAGAATACATTTGTTACAAGTAGTCATAAAATACCCATGAACTGGGCCGGAGAGATGGCCCAGCGTTTAAGAGCACTGGCTGCTTTTCCAGAGGTCCAGAGTTCAGTTCCCAGCAACTGCATGGCGGCCCACAACCATCTATAATGAGATCCGGTGCCCTCTTCTGGCAGAAAGGTATATACATGTGGGAACACTGAATATATAATCTTAAAATACCCATGAACCCAAGTTAGGAAGCTGAGCATCATCAGTGAAATTGCAGGTAGGGATAGAACTCTGTTGGTAGAGTCCTTGCCTGGCATGCATAAGGCCCTCGGTTCCATCCCAACACCAATAAACAGGATGTGGTGGAACACACCTGTAACCATAGCACTCAGGAGGTGGGAGCGGGAGGATCAGAAGTTCAAGGTCATCTTCTACCAGGTGTTGAGTTCTAGACCACCTGAGATACAAGAGACTCAGGGTCAAAACAATCACTGAAACCAACTGCCCTTTCCTTCTCTCTGCTCCCATCATCTCCCACACCGTGTGTTGCTCCCCTTTCCCAGGCAGGCCCTGGCTGCTAGTGATTCCTAGGGCTTCTGCAGGAAGTTAATTGTGAGCTTGGTGGCCTGACCGACTGAGCTGGCCCTGCTAACAAGTGTCGTGTCGGGGGTAGGGAATGGACTAGTGGGTCTGAAAAAGTGAGAGAAGGCCTCAGTGTGTGTGCATGTGTATTTGCGTGCACGTATGTGTGTGTGTGTGTGTGTGTATGTGCGTGTGCATGTGTTTGCCATACTACACATGTGGAGGCCAGAGGTCAGTTAGCAGGAATTGGTTCTCTCCTCCCGCTGCAGTTCCTAGGGATAGCTAGAACTCAGGTCATGAGATCAGGTTTGGAACTGGCCTGACTCCCTGAATTCGAGTCCCAGCTCTGCTGCTTATTAGCCGTGTGACCCCAAGCAAAGTACTTGACCTTGCTGTGCTTGTTTACAGTCTGAAATGGGAGTAATCAGGGCTCCTGCCTCAGACGATGATTGCAGACAGATAGCTCTCGGGAACAGAGCCTGGCAGATGGTAAGCTCTCATCACTGATACTGCGGCCTGAGGTGTCCTGGCATAGACCAGGAAATGGAAGAGCAATAGACCCTGAGCAGGTGTGCATCAGACATGCCTCTCTAGGCTCTTCTGGGGGAGGATACTGAAGAGGCTCAAAGCCTGGACCAGATGCCTTCGTGACCAACCCACTCCTCCCTGACGGGTCCCTCTGGAACTCAGGCCTTAGTAGAACATGGAGGGGGGCAGAAGCATCCTTGGTCTACTTCCAGGACACACAGGGAGGAGCCCGAGAAGGAGCCTGCTTCTGGGACCACAGCCTGGCAGCAGGACCCACACCAGAGGAGGACATGGAGTGGCTGCATTTCAATGCCTTTCCATAATCCAGGATTAGATGCCCATTCACATGACCTTTGTCCGCTCTTGCCTGGAACCTCCAAAGTATGAGTTAATAAATAAAGGAGGAATCAGAGGGGTCAGGGAGGTTTGGGCTAAGCTCATGGAGGAAGTCCATCCCAGAACTGATAGAGCTGCGTGCCCAGCATGCCCGGACACTTCTGCCTGAGCTCTAATAGGTGAAAGTACCTATTTCACTTAAAAACTGTGTATGTGTATGCATACATATGTATGTATGTGTTAGTACATGGGGGGTGTGTGCATGCACGTGCACACATGTAGAGGCCAGAAGATAACTGTAGAATTGCTACCCACCTTTTTTTGAGACAGGGTTTCTCATTGGTCTGGAGCTACCGTGTTAAGCGATGCTGGCTGACAGCAAACCCCAGGCGTCTTCCTCAGAGCTGGAGTTACAAGGGTGCACCACCAACTTTTTACATGGGTTCTGAGCGCTGAACTTTGCTCACATTTTGCCTGCTGGACTAACTCCCCAGGCTAGCCTAGTTCACTTTCAATGGACCTAGTTATTGTTACCCGTAATGTCAGGCAAGGCTGCCCTGGGGCTAAGTTTCCTGAGGCCTAGTGCTAATTTCTGCCAGTCCAGACTCTAGAATGTTCATGAAGATTCACTGAGAAACGGACTAGCAGACCTGGACACTTGCTGGGAATCCGTTCTCAGGCTACTCCAAGGTGCTGCCACTCCCCGGGGTTCTGCTATAAGCAAGAAGCCAGACACATCTCTCTCTACCTGCGGGGAAAGGAACCGCCGCCCAATGAGGGGTGAAGGAAGTTGCTAAGCTGGTAGGGAGGAGCCTGGTGCTGGGGGTTTCCTGTGCTTCGGTTTCCTCCTTCAGGACGGGAACAGGAAGGCTGGGAACAGGAAGGCTAGCAGCTCTATGAGCTGCAGATCTGTAATAAGCCACAGATGAGAATTCTTCGAGAACATCAGATGGACAGGTGAGATGGCCCAGCTGGTAAAGCATGCTTGCTGCAAAAGCCAGACACCCTGAGCTCAACTCCTGGACCCAAGTAAGAAGACAACGGATGTGCATGTCATCCCAGCGCACTGCTATGGCAAGACGGGAGCCACAGGCGATGGCATTCTGCTGTTTTCAATAGCTCAAACAAAAGGGACCCCACCTCCATTTTTACTTTATAAAGATCATATTTTATGTGCATAAGGGTTTGTGTGTGTAATTGTCTCATGTTCCAGGGCAAACTCAAGTTTTTTTTTTTTTTTTTAATTTTCTTTTTTAGCAAATCCTAGCACATTATTAACAACAACAAAAAAAATCTGTACATTTGCCATGATACACTTAGAAGGTGAAACAAATCAGATATAAATACAGATTATGGATGTAACATGAAAAAGCCCCCCGAAAACCCCAAACAAACACCACCCAATCTGGGGGTGCAGGGACCATGCGTGTGAACTATTTTGGTGGCGGATTGTTTTCAGAGCAATTATTTCTTCTGAACATTGTTAGCAGAGTCCTGGCTGGGGGTCTACGAAGTTCTAATCTGCTGTCTTTTAAAGTGGGAGTTTCCATAAGGGTGACAGAGGAACAGAAGATGTCTGAGACAAACCTGTTGCATTACCTGCACAGGTGTTGAAAAGCTAGTGGTGGGCCATAGATAAGGCAAGCCCAGGCCATCTGTGGGTACCAGGTCCGCGGCACACGAGTGCACCTGGAGAGCGCCTGTCCAGTAGAGGGAGGGGCGGCTTGCCAGGAAGCGGGAAGTCAGATGAGCAGTTCCCCTGGACACAGGGTAGGGGGTTCCAAGGCCCTGGATAGTCAGATAGGTGGGGTGCTGTGAAGTCCGTCAGGGTCTAGGTGCTTTGAACAGAGTCCGTTGAGGAGGTGGAGGCAAGGCAAGGAAGGCAGCTGTAGCCATCAGGGTTCCAAGAGCGCGCCGTCGCCCTCCATGAGGTGGTGGTGGTGGCAGCATGCAAGCCTCCTCAGCATTGCAGGCAGCAGTCTTCAGATTGAGCCCAAGAGACCTGTCAAATGATTGTATTCTCTCTCTCCGGCTGAAGAGGGCATGTGACATTCGAGGCTAGCCCTTTGTGAGTGCTGTGAGGAACTCAGGCAATGTTCTGACCTGTCCAGTTTTGGTGGGGGCCTGGGGGCCATCTGTGGGGCAGGGGACTCCAGAGAAGGGCCCTTTTCTAACTGCATTAGGCCTAAGAGAACTAACTCCTAAGTGACCTGGCCAGGGTGCACAATTCTACCCAGCTGTGGTTCCAACACCGAGGGACCCTAGTGGAGGGTGAGAAGGAATCTCAGCAGCGAACTCTCAACAGACAGGAGGTTTTGTTTTTTTTTAACCAAAAGTCAAGTCTGGTCCTGCTATATTTTGCTTCTAAGACAGTCAATAATAGCAAATCCCTTAAAATGCACCCCCGAGTTTCCCAAACAGCGGTAGTGGGGCGGTTACATGTGTGAGCCACTCACTCACGCACGCACGCACGCACACACACACAGAGTAAGGACCTTCATTTTCAGTGTATTTCCAAATACAGCATGGCTCTCTCCCAACCTATCTCTTTTTGATTGTTTTTTGAGACAGAGTCTCTACATAGCCCCAGCTGTCCTGGAACTAACTCTAGACCAGGCTGACCTAGAACTCAGAGATCCACCTTGCCGTTGCCTTCCAAGTGCTGGGATTAAAGTTGTGCGCCACCACGGGCCAACCCTATCATTTGGAGGGTCAGGGACTCAGTGCTGGGATCAAGGCTAAGAACTCAGGTGCCCTTTTACCTCCTTTTACCTCTGGTAGCTGAAGTGGGCTCTGCCCTGGAAGAGTGCATGCTTTGCTAAAATGAACACCCCAAAGTGTCTCTTGCTGGGCACGTGGCCCATAACTATAAAACCACAGTACTTGGGAGGCCACAGGCAGGAGGATACCAAGTTCAAGGCCAGCCTAGGAAAGTTTGCATGATTGCATTAAAAACTGTCATTTGGCTTGAGAATTTTATTCTGAATACATTTTAGCCAGACTCAACCTTAGTTGCTACGTCAAAAGCCCTTCAAGAGGTTAGGCCAGGGATTCCCTGGGAAGGAAACACAATGCAAGCCTCTTTCCAATCGTGGCATTCTGCAGTCACCTTTTATTTAATGCAACCATGAAAACTTGGTGGCATTACCAGCTCTGTTCCCAAAGGCAGGGCAGTTAGCCTCATCTGTTTGTCGCCAGGCCAGCTCCAGATTGTTGTCCTTTTCTTGCCCAGGCTGCAATCTCACGTTGACAAGGTCTCTTAAGACAAGACCTAAAGACACACACAGCCTTTCTAGGTGTCAAGTGGAAAACGGGTGGGGGAGGGGGGGTCTTGTCCCATCTGATCACACTCTAAGAACATAAGCATAAAGAACACACAGCAACACCCTAAACCACCCCCAGGTCTGTATCAACTGAAAAAAAAAAAAAATGCTACTGTGTACCAAGCACTGGCTAGAGAGCTCTGGGTTCTAAGAACTCCATGGTTTGGTGATGTCAGCAGGCGGTGCAAGACATGGGTAAGTATGGCTGTTCATTTCTCAGTCCTTTTGTTTCTAGGGAGACTGCATAACAGGCCTGGCTTCTGTTACATTCAATACCAGCAAAATTCTACACAAAAGCTGGAAGGGACCAAAATACTGATTGTAATAAATTATGTGCGGCCTCCTCGAGTGGACTGGGCAGCTGATGGAGCTTCTCAGAGGCCCCAACCACCACTGTGTGTTCTGCACAGACTGGCATGGCCACTAGCTGTGTGTGGACACATCAGAGGAGGAGCTGCTGTTGCTGTTGGTGGTCTGGGCCCTCTTTATGTATAAGTTCAGCAGCTTCATCTGCGGAGAGAAGAAAAGAAAGTTGAGTGAGCAGAGATCAGCAAGAAGTAGGAGAGAGGTCTGCAGTTTGGTGTCTGAAGACAGTTGGTATCCAGATGCTCTGATAGGGGTGCTGGTGCTTAGCTCAGGGTCTGAAGACAGCTGGTACCCAGATGCTCTGACTGGGGTGCTGGTGCATAGCTCAAGGTCTGAAGACAGCTGGTACCCAGATGCTCTGACTGGGGTGCTGGTGCATAGCTCAAGGTCTGAAGACAGCTGGTACCCAGATGCTCTGATAGGGATGCTGGTGCTTAGCTAAGGGTCTGCAGTTTGGTGTCTGAAGACAGTTGGTACCCAGATGCTCTGATTGGGGTGCTGGTGCATAGCTCAGGGTCTGGGGACACAGGGAGAACTTAAAGAGAACAAGTGACCTGAAGGTTGGGCTGCCAAGGAAGGTACACAGGGGTGGGGCCAACACAGCACAGGGATAAAGCCTCCAACCCGTGCTGCAGCCGCTCCTTTCCCCAGGACCCCAACAGACAGCTACGGATGCCAGCCACACCTGAGACTATTGTGGCTGACTCCATGAAACCCACCATGGCTTTGATTTTCCCCAGCACTGCAAAAAGAAAAACAATAAAAGAAAGTTAAGTACAGTGTGGCGGCTGGTGCCTATGGCAGGAGGACACTTCTGAAGCTAGTCTTGGCCATAGAGCCAGACCATATCTCAAAAATCCCCAAGCACTGGGGCCAGTGACATGGTGTTCGTGAGCCCGATGATTCTCAGTTTGATTCTCAGGACTCATATGATGGAGAGAACCAAGTGGCAAGCTGTCATCTGATCTTCACACATGTGCCACGTCACTTGCGGACCACACACACACACACATACACACACTCACATATACATCACACACACACTCACATATACATCACACACACACATACATCACACACACACTCACACACATATACATCACACACACACACGCACACTCGCACACACGCACACACACACACACACACACACACACACACACACGGCAAAAAGTACAAACACAGCATCGGTGGAATGGCACCGCAAGGAATCCTTCCCACAGATATTTGACAACGGGATCAAGACTGTGAGGGAAAAGATTATCTTTACAGGAAATGATGATGCTGGGAGATGGGTAGCTCTCTGCAGCAGAATCAAGTTTAACCTTACCTAACACCGCAGACAAAAATTAACCCAAATAGAACCAGCCAGGTGTCCAATAGCAGAGGGATCATAAAGAAAATGAGGTTCACATACACAATGGAGTTTTTTCAGCCGTCAAGAATAACAAAATAATGCCATTTGCGGGAAAATGGATGCAACTGGAGATAATCATATTGAAGGAATTAAGCCAGTCTCAGAAAGACAAACACTTGGCTCTCATATGTGGTCCCTGGAACTTACATGGGAGTATGAAATCATGTGTATATAGCATGAGTGGGACAGAAGCGAAGCCGCCTGTGGTGGGAGGACAAAAGGGACAGACAGGATGGGAAGGGGCAGGGTTAAAAAACCCGAGTGAGTCACAAACCTGAACCTAAGACATCTAGGAGCTTAAAATCCAAAACTCACATGAAAGCTAGACAACAGTCTCATGACAGTGGAGGTGGTAATGTTTTCTGAAATGGGACCCCAAGGGTCCAGGAAACAAGTAGATAAATTATATCAGAAAGAGCTGAATAATACTTTTAGATTGATTCATTTGTAAGTCCAACTCCCTTTATGGATAGGGCCACGATGGTGGTCACTATAGCCAAGCCACCTCTGAATCCCTGCAGAGGGTGCGGAGGAGGAGAGGAGGAGGGAAAAACTGTAATTACCACCACCACTTTTCATTAACAGTTAAGAAAGCCATCAGAGCCAGGTGGAGTGTCTCACACCCTTAGCCCCAACACTGGGGAGGCAGGTGGATCTGAGTTTGAGGCTAGTCTGGTCTACAGGGGTAGTTCCAGGCCAGCCTGGTCTACAGAATGAATTCCAGGACAGTCAGGGCTTCATGGAGAATCCCTATCTGGGGGAGTGGGGGTGGGGGGTGGGGGTGGGAAAGCAATCTGATTAGAGTCCTGGCAGGAGGGAGTGGCAGAGTGCGGAGATTTGGTCAGGTAAGGTAGAATCTGTTATCCATCCATCCATCCATCCATCCATCCATCCATCCATCCATCCATCTATCCATCCATTCATCCATCTATCCATCCACCTACCCATTCATCCACCCACCCACCCACCCATCCATCCATTCATCCACCCATCCATCCATCCATCTATCCATCCATCCACCCATCCATCCATCCACCCACCCACCCATCCATCCATCCATCACTTATTCATCCATCCATCCATCCATCCCTTATCTGTCTGTCCGTCCATCCATCCATCCATCCATCCATCCATCCATCCATACGTCTATCTATCTTCTCCTGTAACCCAGGCTAGCCTTTAACCATGTAGCTGTAGATGATCTTGACTCCTTGAACCTTCTGCCTCTACCTGAGCACTGGGATTACAGGTTTACGCAGTGTGTGGGTGGAACCAGGACTCTGTGCACACTAGGCAAACACGCCCCAGCCTCACCTACCTCACCCCCACTTTCCATCTGTCTTCAGAGTATGTCCTCTGGACTAGTGGTTCTCAACTGTATGTAGTTTTGCTCTGGGCGGGGGAGACACGACACATCCAAGCATGTATAGAGCCATTAAGGGTAATGACCTTACAATTAAAGGGAGAGCTACTGGCATGTAGACGGTGGCTGGGGTTGTTGGCCAAACTTCTGACACTGTATATGTGAGCTTCCACAAGCGAGTGGCCTCCAGGGTCCCTGGGGAAACAGGCCATCGCTGCCCTGGCTACAATACAATCCGACAGCGTCACAGCAGCAACTGAACGGAACGGAAGCACCGCCCTGCATATTTCTTCTCAGACAGGGAGCAGGGCACTCTTGGCAGGGTACATCCTCGGCAGGCCGGACAGAATGACCATTCTTGCCCCCCCCAGGGAATCCCGTCTTGTGGCAGGGTGTCATAAATTCTGGGGAACCGAGGCTCTGGCCAGGGTGCTCCCCAGCTGTGTCAAAGTGGCAGTCCAATCGAAACACACCTCACTAGGAAGTTCCCTGACAAGGAGCAGGGCCCTGCGCTCTCACTGGCATGCCAAGTGTATGGAGCAGGGCCTGCGGGGCAGCAGGCCCAGGGCGAGGCTGCCATTCTACTGCTGATGTCCACAAGGCACTTAACCCTAGTTCAGCAATTCATTCAAGAATGAGGTAATCTTAAAGTAATTTATTATTGTGTGTGTGCCTGTGTGCAAGCCACAGAAGGCATGTGGGGTTTGGATCTCTCCATCCACCTTTATGTGGGTCTCAGGGATCAAAAACAGGCTGCCAGGCCTCATGGCAAGCGCTTTTACCCACTGAACCAACTTGCCCACCCTGAGGTAAATTTCTTTAGTGAGTCCTTGGGGGGCGGGGGCGGGGGGAAACCTGGCTTCTGAGCAAGGTTATCTTCCTTCAGTAGATACACTGACAGTCAGGCTGTCTTTAAAATTAGTGAAGAGTGGCCGATGGTGTGCCTGTCATTCAGCACCACTTTCCATGGCTTTACTTCACAGCCAGTCGTTTTCACCTTAGGGAAAAATGCCTGCTGAGAAGACAGGCAGCTAAACACACTCAAATGAAAAGAGCTGCCACCAAGAAGGCTCGTGAGCTGGAGGCCCAGGTGTGGGCAACAGCAGGGTAACACTATACATACCTTGCTCCCCGTGAGCTGTGCAAGGTGAGGTTTCAGATCTTCTCCGATTACGGAATAGATTGCCACTAAGCAAAACACGCTGGCCTTCCGTACACTGCTCTCGGCATTGTCGTAACCCTAGAGAGTTGAAGGGGGAGAGAGAAGAGGAAGTCAGATCAAAGCTGCGCCTCCAGCCAGTGATCCCACAAGGCCTCCGCAAATGCCCTCGGAGCGCAACCCTGGACTTGTCAGTAACAACCACACGCGTCTCAGACCTGCAGTGAATCCAGAGAGCGGCTGGCTGCCCTGGAGGGTTAAAAGTGACTGGCTGCATGAGTGGCGTGCAGGGACAGGGGGATGTGGGTACCAGGTGGCTGCTTTGTTACAAGGCGCTGCCACTACAGATGGCCACAGGAAGGAGGAATGGAAAGAGAAAATTCTGGGAGCTGTGGAGAAACACATGCCTCATCCGGGTTCCTCCTGGTGGTGGAGAGGAGCGAACTGCCTGAGTAGAAATGGCTTAAAAGAAAAGAAAGATGTCCAGTTCAGCAGGCATGCACTGCCAAGCCTGATAGGCAGGACTCACGGGGTGAAGGGGAATATGGAGGCCCCTCAAGCTGTTCTCTGATCGACGTGCACGCACATGGATACGTGCACACACACCAGTCATTCCTAAAAGCAAGATTCTCTACTGTCCAGGGACTTCATGTGTCCCTCATGTCCCACTAAAATGGGCCAAGAGCTTTGCCACAGATAGCCTTTGTCTTCCCTTCCATATGGGATGGTCTTCAACACTAGGAAGTCCAAACAAACCATTGCAAACAGAAAACGGCAGCATGCAAGAAACGGGAAGCTAGTTTCTCTACCTTTCTTCACCGATGTCCACCCTTTATGTGGACTGCACAGCACAGGATGCCGTCGCTTGCAGCTGCTATGTGGTCCTACCATGTCTCATAGGGGGCTGCCCATCAGGAGTACAGACACAGGACATCCAAGTACTCATGATGCATACTTCCATGCACCCCTTTGGCCCAGGGCCGACCCACAGGAGGCATGGCACGGGTGTTTGTTGAAGCAATGAACAACACATCTTTACACTAAACTGAAGGCTCGTTTCTTGAACCACAGGGCCTGATCTGGGCTGTCAGTTATCTTTTGTCTCATGTGGGCTAAGATGTGTTTGTGCAACCAACATCTTGTCATGGGGGTAAGAGAAGGGCCATGAGCCTCTGACCCCTCATCCAAGTATCTACAAATAGTTCATGGCTGCCAGGAAAGGGAGAGACATTTTCTTCGGTGTTACAGCACTGGCTAGGTGCTTATCTTCCTGTGAACAATCCCCCACCCACACTCCTGTAAGCAACCCTTATGAAACTCACCAGCTTGTCAAGGCATACAAAATATTTCCAGTCTAGTCTCCAGTGGACATGTGTTCTCAAGAGCCTCTGCCTTATTAACAAAGGACATGGGTAGACTAACTAAAAGGTCTGTGCTAGATTTTAACAGATTAAAAGAAGGCATCACTTAGAGAACACCCTCTGCTATAAAACCTAAGCTTTTAAAATCAAACTAGCAAAAAGTAAATAAATTAAAAACATTAAAGCAGGAGGAGGACGGGGAAAGGGACCCTCGGGAGAGGACCAGGAGAAGGCGGTGGGGGCAGACACAAAAGATGCATGGGATGGAAAAGCCACAACCAAACTCCGTCCATCTGTCCGTCCTCCCTTCCTTGTTTTGTTTTCTGAGTCAGGGTTTTTCTGTGTAGCCCTGGCTGTCCTGGAACACACTATGTAGGCCAGGTTGGCCTCGAACTCACAGAGATCGGCCTGCCTCTGCCTCCATCCCGAGTGCTGGGATTAAAGGTGCGCACCACCACTGTCCAGCTAAACTCATTATTGATGTATGCTAAGGAAACACTTCCTAATAGAAAGGACGTGGGTCCCGAGGGCGGTGCCAGCGCTGTGGCCTCCGGTCTGCCCCTCTTCATGCTGAGCAGCCTGAGTTGGGCCTCACAGGGTGCATACCTGCAGCAGGCCTGGGATGATGTCGACGAGGAGTTGCAGCAAGGACTCCTTGGTGATCCTCTCTACCACTTTCGTCTGCATCTTGATGGCGGCCAGGTTGATGGGATAGTCGGCCGTCTGGATGATTGGGCACAGCACTTTGATGCATTGCTCTGGGTGGATTGAGCTGGCTAGTGTAGATGCAGCTTCCTCAGCAGCTCTCACCACCTGGAACAGGACCACAGAGTGAGCTGTGCCTCAGGAGTTTTGAAAAGGACCAGCACCACTCCAGTAGCCAAATACAATGACCTATATGTCCTCCAATACTGCTGAGGAAAACTAAAAGCAACCTGGGTTGTTGTGTGGGACAAGGACGTACAGGCCTGGGGGTTGGGACAAAGACTTCGGCAGAGGGGTCTCCAAATGTGTTCCGTGCACGTGCAGCAGCAGCTGAACCTGTGTTTACAGTTGTACCCACCTCCTTGAGATCTCCTTAGCAACAATACTTCTCAGTCTTCCCCAGGGCGCTGTCTCAGAGATGGGCCCCTCTGGCCATTCTTACCACAGTAGTGGAAAATCTCTGCCCTGGGAGATTAGGTCCCGAAAGTAAATCCTTGCTAAGGGCCATCAGGACCCTCTGAGGCAGTCTCCTGGAGGAAATCAGTGTCTTTCATACTGACGTCCCCTAGGAGGCGCTGAACTGCAGGTACCAGGGCAGGCTCTAGGGGAAGGCTGTGCTTTCCTAGGGAATCCCTTGTGGGAAGCTGGTGCCCAGGAATCTGTGCCCATGGTGCTTTTTGACATTGTAGCTTTAATTTTCAGTTACTGACTAGTTATATCCATCCATCTATTGCAGAAAAAGTCTGTCTCCCAGATTGGGCTTCCACTCACTATATAGCAGAGGGTGACCTTGAACTTCTGATCTTCCTGCCTCTACCGCCCGAGGGCTGGGGTTCCGTGCATGCACCACCAGGCCAGTTTAGGCAGTGACGGGATGGAGCCCAGAACTGCATTGAGGCAAGCACTCCAACTGAGTGAACTACACCCTCAGCTCCTGCTCTCACTTTTCAGGAAGTGCATAAAATGATTGCCACACGGCCGAGGGAACGGCTCTGATTTCTGGAACCGTAGAAGATCCTCCCTCATAAAGATGGAAGTACACGCGAAAGCCAGGGAGGACATGCCATGGTATGTGTATGAAGGTCACACGACAACTCAGGTCAGTAGGTCCTTTTACCTGCTGGACTATCCTGCCAACCATGATTATTTCTTTGTTTGACAGAGCCTCTCTATGTAGCCTGTCCTGGAACTCACGCTGGGGGGTGGGGGGGGAAGGCTTGAAGTCACAGAGATCTACCTGCCTCTGCCTCTCAAATGCTGGGATAAAAGGTGTGTTCTCAACTACCCAGTTGAGAAACCTATAGCCGTCTATACTATATTTTAAGTTACTTTTTGTTAAGCACACGCCTGTGTGGTTATGTTCACATGAAAGCCCATGGAGGTCAGGGGAGTCAGATCCCCTAAAACTACAGTGACCAGCAGCCGTGAGCTGTCTGACACACGGTCCTGTGCAGGGGAAGGAAGTACTCTTAGTCTCTGAGCATCTCTCCAGCCTACCCTGCTGCCTTTCTTTTCGGCACAGAAGTTCTTTTGCCCACTGAGCCATCTTGCTGCCACCCCCGCCCCCCCTCCCCCAGTCCTTACAAGTGACTGGTCCTGGAAACAGCATTTGAACCACCCAGGAAGCCACATGGTAGACTAGGAGAGGGGCGGGGTAGCTGTGTCCAGACAGGCTACTTGTGCTGGGCCAGATTTGGGTTTTGAGGGCACACACACAGGTTTCAATCACTTTGGGGCCTTGAATTAGGTTCTGCCTACCACCTAATCTCCTCTGGGCTCCCCATCCATCAGTGGCTGGGTTCCGCCTTCTCTGCAAACAGTGCTCTGTTAGGGAGTGTGCCTGATCAGCCCCTGGGTAGGTCCCATTCCACAGAGCTATCCTAGTCACAGCCATGGCTACCTCACTTAATACTTTCAGGACTGGCCATGTTAGCAGTGGGATTTTCCTTGTGAAGTTCCCTGAGAGTCAGCTACTCACACTCAGTATGTGATGTCCACCACTATAAAACACTCGCTCAGGTGGGGTGGTAGGGAGCTAAGATGGTAGCGTGCGCACGCTGTAAAAGCATGAGGTGAGGACCGAGTTTGACTCCCAGCACCCACATAAAACAGCCAGGCGAGGTGGCACACACTTGTAATCTCGGGGCTGGGACTCGGGAACAAGGGGCCTGGAGGTTTGTTGGCAGGTGACAAGCTTCGCTGAACAACACTTGAAGCTGACCTCTAGCGTCCACACACACACACACACACACAAATCTTGGTGGCAATGCATACTATCACTCATTCCCCTCACAGTGGTCTGGCTACGGGATCTTTTCTCTTTCTTCTTTATGCTTTATACCTCGAAAAGTTGCCACTAACGTCAACCTTCCTGGCAAGGGGACATTGATAAAAATCTAGCTCGAGTGTCTTGGGAGGTCAGAGAAGTGGCAGTCCCTGGGAAGGAGTGGTCAGAGAACCACACCTGAGCAGCAGCCTTGGCGTGGGGGTGGAGTGCTAACATTGCAATGATCTCCGCTGTCCCTGCCCACCACCCCAGCCTGGCTAATCCAGGACATGCACTAATCCCCATACAGGGCTCACAGGATCATCTCACGCCACACCAGAGCGCGCTTTTCATCATGGTTACATTTTCATGTGGAATTCTTTGCAACCAGGCACAGCTCGGGCCCTCCTCCCAGGGGTCTGGCACTGACTAATGGGCTGTGTCCCTCTCTTGTCCCCTGTTCTCTGTTTGGGAACATATCCTCGTTCAAGAGCTTCCTAGGTGGCTGTGGTGCTCCTGGCTATGAGCTTGGAAGTGTGCAGCTGCTCTCTCTCACACCCTTCCTCTGGGCTTTGTCACCCAGTCCTGACCAGTTGCTTCCTAGGTGTGGGAACTGAGTTCCAGGACTCAGCTGGGAAGGAAAGACCCGTCTGGGCCTTCACTCTGCAGGGGAGGGTTAGGGTGGCTGGTACAGAGGGGTAGTGTCAGGATGTGAAGGCCCAGAGACAAGCTCCCGAGGGGTTATCTTCTGCTTAGGGGTTAGGAGGTAGCTGGTAAGGGTTGGGAAGTAGAAAAGATGCTCATTGGGTGTTCTGAAAGCTATGTGGCCCCTTGTTCCAGAAAGGCCTGCAGAGGGAGCCAATGGTGTGGCAGGCAGGCTTAGCTGTCAAGATACTTCTTCAGAGCCTCAGACTCTTATGTTGGAATTAAAATGTTTCACGTTCAGCTGTGTGAGCATCGTATAACTAGCTAAGAAACATTGATAGATGGAATCCAGATGTAGGGACCTGGCAGTCTGTTAATTAATGCGGGGAACTTAACCTGCAGCTGAGAATAATGGCCAAATCCAGGCCAGGACCTACATGCCACAGGGCAAGAACTGACTCCTGAAAGCTGTCCTCTGACCTCTATCTCAAGGGCATCACGGCACACGTTCGTTCTCTCTCTCCCTCTCCCTCTCTCTCTCTCTCTCACACACACACACACACACACCCGTATACTGTAACAACAACAACAACAACAAGGTCTACGAACTGTATTCTAGGTCATTCACCAAAAGCACAGTAAAAAAGACTAGGGCTTTCCCCAGCGGCCAGCTGTCTGGAAAGCAGGGCCACGTCAACCCTCAGTCTCCCTCTACCCACGAGGTTGCTCCATGGGGAGAACTGGGCGAGGCCCGTGGCAGGAGGAGGCCGGCCCAGCAGCAAGGCAGTAGCTCTGGGCTTTGACGGGCGCCATACACAGCTGCCACAGTACACCAGAGGACTCTGTGGCCCAGCGTTGTTGTTGTTGCTGTTGTGGTGGTGCAGGGGATTGAACCTGGGGCCTCATACGTGCCCAAGAAGCACCCAACCACAGGTCACACCACAAAGTTTCGGACTTCTACGTTTGATACGTCTAAGAAAGAAACACTGACGTGTGGTTGTACAGCTGGAGACCTCATCAGGAGTAGAACAAACACGGACTCAGAGAAGCCAGCCAACCAGCTCTGGTGCCCCACAGTGAGAAGAGCACCCTCTCCTGCTGTTGCTCTGCAGGTTCAAGACCAAGCTGCTGCGAAAACACCCTTTCGGGTCTGCTGACGTGAGCCCAGCTCCAGCAGCGTGTCCTCCTGGGACACCCAGGGATTCTAGAGGGAACGGGCACGAAGCAGTTCAGCAACCGCATCCATGTGTACTGGGTTTCTGGGGACAGTCTGGAAATAAACTGCCAGGGACTGTACAGCAGGGTGAGCAGTTGAAGGCCCTCTCTTCCCCCCAGGGTGAGAGAAAGTTCCCCAAGACAAGACACTGGTTTTGGCAGGGAAGGTAGTGTTCTGACTTCCCTCCATATGCCAAACCCTGGCTTTGGCAGGCTGCCCGTATCAGGGTGAACTTTAGGTTCTGCCCTATGTTCTCTGTAACATAATAAGCGAGATTATAATGTAAGCAAAAGTAAACACAAGTAACAGAAGGAAAGGAAGGCAGCGTGCTCAACAGACAAGGTGATACCAGTGCTGAGGGGATTTAAACAGGAGAGGGACATAGAGGGTGAGCAGGAGCAAGCTCACGTCTGTATTTTGACTCTGCTTCTGTCTGGTTAGAAACACAGGAACTTTCCCTCTCCACTTATAAGGATGCAAATGTCTCGCTAGGAAACGGCAATTGTCACCAGTGGATGTTTGTACAGTGAGGTCTAGCTCCGCGCCCGGCCCAGGCTGGTCTTGACCTCTTGACCCTCTTGCACACCTAGCTTTTTAAGGAAATGGGATCATGACTCAAAATACTGATGAATGTTTGCTTAAAGATTAGGTTTCTTAATTTTAAGGCACAGAAGTTCTCGACATTTGGACTGCGTGTTTGGAGTGCGCCAAGTTTGATTTGGCTCTGTCTCAGACACATCGGAACAACTGAGAGCAAAAAAAAAAAAAAAGCAGACATCCAAAAACAATGATGGCAAGAATCCAAGAGCTCTTCCCCAGGGCACCTGGAGTTTTAGCTCCTGGATCATTGGAAGCTAAAGAGATGCTGATGCCACCTTGTGGGACAGGCCAGAAAGCCTCTCAGCAGGCACACCTGTAGTGGCTCTGTGTCCCTGAGAAAAAGTAGGGAGTCGCATGTCTTTAACCCCAGCACTCAAGAGG